GATGAATACAGCTTCTAGGAAATCCTTTCATTTGTACAAAATGGTGCCTAGAAAAGATAAAGGTAGACAGTTCTGTGATGATAACTCAACATCATATACTTTCTTATTGTTAAAATACATTTCAAAGCAAAAATAGGAGTGTGTCAAATTCTTGGAAAGTAACTATTTACATCTGACATTGCTTAAGGCCCAGCATTTGATAATCAATCTCCTGTGTTAATGCTTAAGTATGACGTGGAGGTGCGGATTACACATGAACATGACCTACAGAGTCTGCTCTTTGGTGTTAATAAGAATTCCTCAATATTTGAAGACTCAGTGTATTAGGAACCAGTAAGATGTATATAGCTCTCCAGAAAGATATTTACTGCAAAGGATCGCCTCACATGATTATGGAGCGTGAGAAGTCCCATGATCTGCTCTTTGCAAGCTGGGGGCCCAGGAAAGCTGCTAGTGGCTTTATCCCAGTCCAAACCTGAAGGCTTGGGAAGCAGGGGAATCACAGGTGTAAGCTGCAGTCTGAGTATGAAGGCCCCAGAACTGGAAGCTCAGGTGCCTGAGGGCAGGAGAAGATGGCCACCTCTGCTCAAACCTTCCTGCACCCTTTTGTTCTCTCAGTCCCTCAAGGGATCGGAGGATGCTTTCCCACACTGGTGTGGGCAATCTTCTTTATTCAGTCTGCCAATTCAAAGGCTAATTTATTCTGGGAACACCTTCACAGGCACAGCCAGAAATAATGTTTTACCAGTCTTCTATGCACCCTTCACTCCTTAGGTCAGTCAGGTTGACACATCAAATTCACCTTCACCTCAGATGTGGCCATCAGTTCTGAGGAATGTTCTCAGAACTTGCATGGACTACATGAACAATAATGCTGTGTGAATTAGATCATTTTATTCAAATTTGTGAGAAAAATGTACAATAATCAGTACTCTCCTTACTTTGGCCATGCTTTCTCTTTTATGATTTCTCTCTGTTTTTAGGGCTGACAGTGTTTGTTGACAATCTCAGCCACACTGGAATTTGCATGGACTTCAAGATCAGTCCGCACACACCCACATCCTTAAATTTATTCACTCCAGCTTCCCCATGTGGCCGAGAGCAGGAATCATTTCAGTTTGAGTCCATGTTTTTGGGCTCACACGTTGTTCAGGAAATACATATTAGATCAGCAAATGAGGGCACGTTTCTCCTAAAAGAATAACTACTGGTTCTCCAAAGTCTATGTTTCTGTGTAATTCTATTGTAGTCCTCCCAGGGTAGCTCTGACCTGGTTTTCTTGAGAAATCATTCAGAAATCTTTGCTCTCCTTAGGAATCTTACTATCTAGTGATTTTTTAATTCATTTTGACTCTGGAATATGTGAATAACTGCAATAAACTATCCAGTTTTGTACTGGCCTTAGATTTTAATTGAATTGCTGCTAATTACAAGTATTAATGAAGATCCATAACAGTAACAATAAAAGCAAGCACAAGGCTTACATCATCTGACCTTAGGAATGAAAAGTGACAGTTTTCCTAAAAGTAGGCAAGTCCAAAGATAATAGACCTTTTGGTAATTTACTTGTGAAGGAGGTAGGGGATTTAAGTCCAGTGGGAGAGATGGTTAAGGAAGTGCCTGGTAAAAGCAGAGTGTGACCAGGTGAGGCTGAGAACAAATAATGCCTCTCTCCACCTGGAGTCCAGCGTAGGTAGGCAGGGGGCCTCTCTGGGGGAGGCAGCGCATTTATCCATGTAGCTACTGCTGTCAGACTTGCCTTGTCCTCTGATCCTCTTGTCTTGAGATTTTCAGTGGAAGCCTGGGGACAGTGAGTCAGGACGGCTACACGGTTTTTACCTCCTACATTATTTCCTGGCTCTATAACCTGATCATTGAATGTCAAATGTCCAAGTTCAGAGAGGTCTAAATGATATAATGAAAATCCAAATTTCCAACTGATTTGAGCAAAATCCCATGAAGTGACCATGATGCATTACTCTTACCATTGGAGCTGGGAATGTTTCCAGCTGAGGTACCATTTCAGTAAGTGCCCTTGCGATTTGTTTTATTCTAATTGCCATACATATGGCCATCCTTTTCTGACAAAGACACCATTTACTAGCATGTAACAATGCAAAAAATAAATTCAGGGTTTAGATGAATGTCAATTATAAACTATCTCACACAGACATTGTCTTCAATCTCTGGCGGTTGATGTAGAAAATTAATGCGTGGTTCCAAATTAATCCTACACCCACATATGGACCATCACTGTTTTGACAAATAAAACCCGAAAATGTAAGTAGGCCATCAAAGTAATCCTACATGCTTCACCTGCCTCTCACTGTTTCTTGTCCCTGTCTCTTCTCCATTTCTCTTCATCAGGTTTTGCTCTATCTGAAAAATGGAGAGTGAAAACCATGTCTTTTCTTTTCTTTTGAAATAAACAAGAATTCTAATGAGCAATTGTCCATGGTCATAGACTTAAAATTTTACTTTCTCATTAAAAAAAAATGAATTCAATCTAGTTGATGCAGACAGATGTCTATACGCACATTCTTTTTACTGTTTTTATCATCATGTAATGTTATTAAACGTTGTCATTTATTTTTGCGTACAACTTAAAATACTGTCAGAAAGATTTAATGAAACTCTCTATTTCTGTCTGCATTTGAGGACTACAATGAGATGTTTTCCCAAACTGGCAAGATGGTAAAAATGGTCTGCGGGTGAAACCATGAAAGGATTAGAAGAAAGATTTGCAAAGTGGGTGGAAAGCAAGGATTTGCAACATCATCCCACTGAGATGACATAGTAAACCAGGCTCTGCTATTGCTGACTGAAGGAACCAAGGTATCTAAATATAAACCGTGTCCATTAGAAAGAGGTTTTCTAAGAGGATGCATGGCCCCTTGCAGACTTCATGGTGGGCGTCCTTCTGGGCTGCTCTTGCTGACTTGCAAGGGTCAAGTATTTCAGAATTTGGTGCTATTATGGTTACGCTGTCAGGCATTCCCACACTCCGCTCTTCACCTGCATTGTGGTGAAGTCTCCATATAACAGGCAACAAAGAATGACAGTATCATTTAATTAATACCAGGACAGCAAATAATTCAATGCAGAACTTTGGCTTAACCTCAGTGATGGGCTAGGAGATTCTTTAACACCTGCCCCACATCCAGCTTATGGAAATGTACCACACTCTCTGGTTGGTCATTGGGTAGAATTGAGGGAGGGGGCAAGTCAATGTTCCCAGGGGTCTCTGGATCTGTTTACCCTCCAAAGAGACCAAAGTGTATGGGACCTGGGTGTATGCCTTTAATGCTCAGTGACGACTCCCATTAGTAATTGTGCCTCAGATCTGTGATTCAATAGTCTTGCACAATTCACAGTGCTCACCATAGCACATACCCTCCCCAATGTCCACCACAGATCTGTACCTCTGAAACAAATAATACATTATATGTTAAAAAGAAGAAGAAGAAGAAGAAGGAGAAGGAGAAGAAGAAGAAGAAGATAGCAGGAGGGGAAGAATGAAGGGGGGGAAATCGGAGGGGGAGATGAACCATGAGAGATGATGGACTCTGAGAAACAAACTGAGGATTCTAGAGGGGAGGGGGGTGGGAGGATGGGTTAGCCTGGTGATGGGTATTAAAGAGAACATGTACTGAATGGAGCACTGGGTGTTATATGCAAACAATGAATCATGGAACACTACATCAAAAACTAATGACGTGATGTATGGTGATTAACATAATAATAAAAAAAAGAAAAAAAAGAAATTGTGCCTCAGAAAATGTTTTGGAATTGAATTAATTGGATTATAGATAATATATAAGGATAAAAATGCAAGTAGTAGACTATATGTCATCTATTTTTGTAAAAATATTATCTATGTCAGTGTACAGATAGAACCATAGTCAATCATACGTAACTATTGTACATATGGAAACAATTCAGATGAATAAGAATAAAATCTAAACTGTCAGGATTTGTTTCCTAAGGGGAGAAAGTATGTTATGGGGTACTCTCTGTCCGCTTTAGACCTCACTGTATTGTTTGATTACTTTAAGATTTGTCTCTATTGAATTAAGAAAAGATATATAACAAATTGCAATATAGACCTATAATTTCAAAAAATTCATTAAATGTGTTAAAATATTGAAAATACTCTTTCAGTTGGATATGTCTATGGCCTTGGTGGTGATAGTTTCACAGGTGTATACATATCCCTCAACTCGTTGAAGAAGGAGGGAAGGAGAGGGGAGGGGAGGGAGGGGATGGAGGGGAGGGAAGAAGGAAGAATAGAAATGTGTCCAGCTTTATACATGTCGATCATACTGCAATAAAGTGGTTTTAAACATACTCTCATTCTCTTATCCTATGATGAGGTAGATGTTTATTATATATATCTATTCATTTATTCAGTAAAGAACTTTTGTCCTCTAGGGCCTTGGTAACGTAGAGACAGACTGTAGTGGCTATGAAATATCTCTTCAAGCCATGGTGAATTATTCTACTCCTGGGAAATGGGCCATAAAGTTGAGATACAGATTGACTTCATATTTTCAACTTATGTCTGTGTTCTAAGGACAATATGGCACTGAAAATTCAATAATACAAAACTCAGACAAAGAAAAATTCTAAGACTTTGCATGAATGGTTTCCAGAATGAATACCTAGGAATTAATTTAAAATAATGTGCTCTAAGACCTTTATCACTTTTTCAGTAATATATTAATATTACAATACTTTAGTTCCCCCTCCCTCCTTGCTCCCTCCCTCCCTCCCCTCCCCTCCCTTCCCCTCTCTCCCTCCCTTCCTTCCTTCCTTCCTTCCTTCCTTCCCTCCTTCCTTCCTTCTTCCTTCTTTTACATTTCTGAAATATATCCTTCTTTCCTACCATATTTCCTGAGGCTCTAGCGGTGACACTAATGAATATTTTTCTTACTTTTTATGAGGGTTTCATTTTTGCGATAACTGGTGAATGTGATATTTTTTCTTTAAATTGTGAACAGGTTGCTGAGCTGTCCTGTGACAAATGGCCTTAAGTGCAGCAATTAAACCTCGAAATAGCCTGCTGCATGTTGCCACTGCTGATTCCACAGCTCCAGCTGGGCATATAACGTCCTCTGCCATTGAGGTGAGTCTTCTCACTTCAATCTGCCAATTTTTTAGCATTCTTCCATTTACCTGTGCAGTAATGTCCCTAATAGAGCTGGTTTTAACAGCAGCACATTTGAAATTTATGAAACTTACTAAAAAGGATAACAAAGGATATAAAGAATAATTATTATATAGAGTTGAACACAACAGAAGAAACATTAGTGGGAAATTTGAGTGACATTTTAAATTTCTTTCATATCCCTAAAAAGATAGCATGATCTTTTAGAAGGAATTTGTTTACATGAGAGATGAGCTTATATTTTAAGGTCAACCAAATGTTAATTTAAGAATGTCATACCCTTTTTAGAGACACTTTATCAAATGTAGAGCTGCTCTGTTAAATGCAATATTATCTTAAATACTTAAAACCACTTTCAAAATGGAAACAAATGAAATTGAGGGAATTAAAAATAAAAAGAATGTTCATGATCATGTTCTCAATCAGGAGACAAGATGAAAGAATAGGCTTATGCTAGAAAAGAGAAAAGTTTTAAGAATTTTACCAAGAAATAAAAAAGGTTGATAGGAATTACTCTTCCCACTCAAACATCTTTATGTTCTGGCTGAAAGCCAACTGATTATGTAAGCTGAGTAATATTCAAGTCTCTCTAATACATATTTTAATATTACTTGTGATTTTAAGAAAATATTGAGTCATTTAATAAACATTAATGACGTTTGCAATGATGGAAAATAAGATACATAAATCAAAGGATGTGGACAGCAAACTGATTTTCTCAATGTATTTTGAGAGTTTTTGTCTTTTGCTCTTGGACCTTACTGGTTTGCAGACCATCCAGGTTACTCAAGTGAATAAACGGTTTTTCTTCTTTAGTTACAACCAGTTTTGGATTCAGGTCATGTTTATGTTTTTAACTTAAGGAAGCACCAATTCCATTTATCTAAAAAATCCTTTGTTCTTGTTTTCAAATTTATATATCAACTTCCAATGATATTGTCAGGGAAAATAGTAAATATTGTTTGATCTTAGATCTTAGTAACAACAAAGAAATATTTCAGCTTTTAAATAAAGATCACTGAATTCATGAGTTTACCATTACAGATTAGATGTTTTGCTAATGAAATCTTATAATCTCATTTAATTTAAGAAATACATTTTAATACAGTTTTAATTTCAAGCACAATCTGAAAAATCTTTGTCAATTTTCACTACATATAAAGTTTTGGGAGCTCAACTTGAGCATTAAGTTAGTTGAGTCTGGGCACATCTTCTCTGAACTGGAAATCATTTCAGGATTCTATGTCTGAGCTCTGTCATTCAGCTGTGTTTCCATACAGAATATTAATATTGAAATATAGTAACTCAGTAGACTTACTCTAATTGCATAGTGAAAATAACTAAAATATATTGGATTGAGCCTAGGAAAATCTCAGAAAATGAGATATACCTTATATAACACTGTAGTAATATTCAATTTAAATTATAATGCCTGCGAGGGATTCATATAGAATTCTAATTTAATGAAAATTCTCACCCAAATAGAACAGGAAAACTGTGCAACCTCTTACCCTACCTTCCCCAAAAGACTTGTTCTCACCAGCTACTTTTTTAAACCACAACTTCCAAAAGACCAGAGTGTGATTTTCTAAGCTTTTCAAGTAAATTCTCACATCTCTAACCGGAATGATGAAAAATGAATCATTCTAATCAATTTTGTGGAATGTGTTCTACATAAATAAATGTTGTTCAAAATACTGTAGATTTCCCTTTAATACCTAATGTGAAGAAATTCTTCAAAATGCAATGTGCGCATTGAGTGAAATAAACACTGTGCATTCAGTGGCTGGTTCCAAGGTGTAGATACAGACAGGATCATCACATTTGAAAATTTTATTCTAACCCTTTTGACACTGGTCTGATAATTATCCTCACTGGAGTCTACTTTCTTGAGATGTTCCTGAAAGGTTATATGAATTAAAGTGTGGAAATGCTAATGGCTATAGTTTGCCCTAGTAATTAAAGTCAGCTAAAGAAATCAGGCCAAACAGCTTAATTTAAAGCACCTATCCAAGCTTTCAAAACCAAGGATTCATGGGGGTGAATGGAGAACAGTATTTTGTCCATTTAGATGATCGTAAAAAAATAATTTGGCATTTCCCGGGGGCCTATTCTACTCCAAGCACTAGGACTCGTGATGTACAAACATTGTCGTGCTGAATCCTTGCTTTAACTCTTCACGAGTGAAGTTATTTCCACACTGAAACCTGGCGAGCATACACACTTCACGAGCTGGAAACCTCCCACACTAGATGAGGAGCCCAGGATTGTCCAACCTTATAATCTGCCGTGTCCACCCTGGGAGGGTGATGATTTCCTAAGCTTTTCAAGTACAGTCTCATGTACCTACCAGGAAAGACGAAAATAGGTCATTCTCATCATTTTGTGAAACTTGTTTCCGTATTTGTGGCTCACCTTCCAACAGATGAGCTGGGCTGAATGTTTTCACAAACAACTAATCTGAAAGCCAAAGTTAGTGGACCTTCAGATTTGGCACTGGTTCGATGCACAATGATTTTACTCATTATTTTTTGTGGGGAAAAGTGCTCTTCTTTTCACTGCTTCCTGTATCTAGATCAGACTAAGAGAACATGCGTGTTTTTCCCGAAGTAAATACACTCTAAGTGTAACTCTGGTGATTTCTATTAAAAGCATACAAAAATAATCGTGAAATATCTGAAACCGCTCAAGCTTCAGTAATAGGGAACTGGTAGACTAAAATATGGTTCATCTAAAAAATGAAGTACTATGTTACCACAGAAATATATAAGGGATAACATTTATGTTATGCTGTGGAAAGATTTCCAGGTTGAATGATAAAAGTGTATACGGTTTGCTGCTGTTCTTCCAAGAAAACATATCTATCTACAGGCATATACACACCCCCCACATGCACACACATATACATATTTTATATGTATACACACAGCGTATAAATGATACACACCTCCATGCACAAATATAGATATCTACACAGACATTCATTTTTTTATGTTGGAAAAAAACAAAGGAAGTATGTACTGTAAAATTTAAAAAAGTGGTTATCAGTAGGAAAGATACAGGGTGGAGGGGACAGAGATGAAGATAGAACTTCTTTTGTATATTTAAATTTGAAACCAAATGAATATTTTACACATTTATAAAACAAAACTGAAACAAATAGCAATCAGCAGTTGAAAGCAAAATGAAAATGAAGACGATGGACATAACTATGTGCTGAGTGGTGGCATAATCACAGGGAGAAGCTCTTCTAAATAACTTTAAAGTAGTAATTTTACCGGATTTGTACTGGTCTTCAAGTGAGAATGAGAGAAGAAAAAAGTGGAGATAACTTTGTAATAAAGGGGAGACAGGTGAGTGGGAGGATGGCTAGAGCAAGCTGTGTGGAGTCAGGGGGGAAACATATAGTCACAGTATATATACATATCCACACATACATACATATATACATCCACATACCAACATGTGTATACATATAAACACACATAAATATATATCCTATATATAACATATATTTACATATATACATATGTGCACACAGAGGCGTACATACCTGTACGGTGTGGGTGGTACTAGAGCAAGGGTGAGATTTTATGCTGATGACGCTCACGAACAGTTAGACCGTTGACAAGTAATTTAATCTTTCTTGTTTTTCAACTGTGAAAAGGGGTAAAACCCTGCTCACAAATTTGTAATCAAGATGAAATTACAAAAGGTAATATCTCCGACTCAGGAGCTAGGCAGGTGTCTTGTTGGCAACAATCCCTCTAAAAACAGAAATCCTCGTTCCATCCCTTTTTCCTTCAATCCACAAGCCAACACACAATGGCCGTGCATCTATCTATCCAGTGTGTGTCCGTGTGTGAGAAGCACACACACAACTCACCTTGGCTCCGTTAGGTCCTGAGGAAGGTTGTGGTCTTCTGGGACTGTACCAGGTCAGTTAACGTTAATTGGTTACTAGAACCAGGTTGGTGGCCCTTCTAGGATTTCCATTTCAGGTAAAACTCACCTTTCCATGTCAGCATATGTGCTTCAGATTTTACTTATCTTGCTACTTACAGTGACATTTGATTATTGTATCTCATTTAATCCTCCCAAAGCTGATAAAAGGAATTACTATATCCATTATGGAGTTGGACAAATAACTTTTAGATAATAAGTGATCTGATCAAAATCCAGTCTTCTGATCCTGGCCCCATTTCCTGGGTCCCTGTTTCCCAGGTGAGGCTGATTTGCCCAGGAATGTGGGGTTGGTTGGGTTGAGTGGACACTGGAGTTTCTTTCCACTCTCCAGTGGTCCAGTGGCTGTGTCCCTACCATGCAGAGCTAGATATTTGCCAGCTGTAGAATTTTATGTTCCAATATATTTTCCTAAATTCAGTGTCCAACTACATCATTCAATGTACTAGGTGTCTTAAATTGTTCTATTCTTTCTCTTTTTAATTGATTTTTATTATTTTAAATCTCCTTTGCTGTCTTCTATTACATTCAATTTCCAAAAATCTCAATTTTTTTATAAGAATTGAGAAGAGTATTTCTCAAAAACAAACCCAAGATATTTCTTTTCATATCTTTTTTTTTTTTAAGATTTTATTTATTCATTTGACAGAGAGAGACACAGCGAGAGAGGGAACACAAGCAGGGGGAGTAGAAGAGGGAGAAGCAGGCTTCCCGCTGAGCAGGGAGCCCGATGCGGGGCTCGATCCCAGGACCCTGGGATCATGACCTGAGCCGAAGGCAGACGCTTAATGACTGAGCCACCCAGGCACCCCTTATCTGTCCTTTTGAAATGAAAAGGAATTATGAGATAAAAATGCTTGCAATTGAAGAAAAACAGTAATATACTATCTTTATATTGTGTGTATATAAATGCATATATATTTTTGTGATGCTCTTTTCCATCTTTTCTATGGGTAAGAGTTTATACTGCCAAACTCTTTATGAGAATTTAGATT